CACTCCCACTTTTATTAATTCACACTTTCCTGGCTGGGAGCACCCTGGAGGAGCCATTTCTTTTTACCTGACGCAGAGACAGGCATCCTACTTGATTTACAGGCTCCAGGGGCGGGTGGCTCCTTGGCTGGTTGCTAAGGTATCTTTTAAATGGAAATCAGGGTGGAGAGATATCCCATATATCGTGCCAGCCATCTGCTAAATGTTGCCTCTTCTGTCTGGAACAGCTCGAGGTGGTTCTGACAGGGAGGCAGGGCCCAGGGGCTGGAGGGAGTGGGGAGGAAAGTCTGTGGCCTCACCATCGAGGGAAGGAACAGGAACTTTCCTTTTCTGCTGCCGTGTCCATTAGTTTTCTGCTTTCTGTCCTCGCCTTTCTTTGTCCCTTTTGTTTTAAATATAAAATCCCATCTGGAGACTCTGATTACAAACCATCAGCCTAGTTCCACACGCTATATTTATTCCAGTATATTTAAGTGTGTGCATGCATGCATGTGTGTGCACGTGTGCTCGTGTGTGTTTGTGTGTGTGTGTGTGTGTGAGAGAGAGAGAGAGAGAGAATCACCACCATGAGGCCTGCCAGGTGGGTCTTTCTGAGCCAATTAGGCCCCTGCTTCTGAGAACACCATCCCTAAGCAGCAAACTCAAGTGCCCAAATTTAGTCAAACAGCTGGGCAGTCACAGGTCACTAAGAATCCCATAGTTGTGGCAGTCACTTTCTCCCTGTAGACCAGGCACATGCAAGCCTCGGGCGGTCGGGGGGGCGGGGGGGGGGCGCTGCTCTACTCCAAGGACAGCCTGGAGCCAGAGAGAGTCATCAGTTCTTCTCAGAGTAGCTGGGAGAGTTTGGGCCAGCCCAAACCTCTTTGAACCTCATTTCCTAGTGGTTGAAATGAGGATAGCAATACTCAAGGCCACAAGGTATGGGAGGGTAGGTTGTTTACTGGGCAAGGTTGTCCAGCGAAAGGGGCCCTACAAATGCCCTGAAGGGACACCTGTTCCTAATTGCACAAGAGTACCTCATGAACCAGTTGCAGTGCTCACCTTGCTGGGGAAAACTGCCTGAAGAAACCCAAGGAGGGAAGAGACACTGTTCCTACCCAGAGACGCGCGGATTCTTGCAAGCACAGCAGATCCAGGGAAGAGTGTTTCTCCTCCTCTCCGGGGTCCTCTGTCTGCTTCCCCAGGCAGCCCCTTCCCCTCCCCTCCCCTAGCCCAGGCTCATAGACATTCCAAGCAGACCATCTCTTGTCCTCTGCAGATGGATTCCTCTGCATGAAGGCTGATGCTGACATTTGATACCAGCATCCATTTCACAGCCTCGCGTCTGATCCCCCATGCACCTCTCTCAGCTTTGCTCACAAATAATCCCGGAGCCCCTCCCACCGGCTTTCATCTGCTCCTTTTTTCCTGAGACCAGAGCCCCTACTCCTAATCTCCAGCTCTCCTTGCTCCCCTCTGCCACCTCTCCCATTCAGACATGTTTAGAGGGACCTAGTTACTCCTTCCAGCTCAGATTTCTGCTCAGGAGAGGGAGCCTCCAGTCTGGGTGTGCACTAATTACGCACACCCACATGCTCCCCATCGCCTCCCTCCCAACCCAGGGTTTAAGCTGCTTTTTGTTTGACTGTGAGAGTAATATATTAAGTGACAGTTCTCAGAATACGATTTTAATTAAGATTCAATAGTCACTTCTCTGTCAGTAATCTTCCATGCTGATTACTTAAAATATATTTACCCAGCTCTATTATGTCACAGCCTTGAATTCATTAGACGTTTGTTAATCCTTAACAAACTTTTAAAAAATAATTTCCAAGGACAGAACTGTTTGAAACAATGGGCCATGTACAGGGTGTGCACCCCGGAGTGTCTGAGTCTTCTCTGCTTGCTGCCACCGCCACCCTCTAGCAGAGGGCAGGCAGGCAACAGGACCGAGGACAGCCAGCCCCAGGGGATGCTGTAGGATGGGGCAGTCTGTCCACGGTGCACTGATGCAGCCCAGACAGCCAGCCTTCCAGGGCACAGGGCAGAATCGGAGAGGGTGGAGGGAAGAATCTGGAGGGACGAACCACAGAGATCTGGCATGGGCCACCTGCAAGCTTGAACCTGGACTCACAGGAACCTGCTGAGCACTACCATTTCCTCTATGCACCATGATGTGAAAATGCTGGACGTGCTGCTTAGCCTTAGGTCACTTCAGTGTTTACTGATGAGAGCTGGTAAGGAGGATGGCTTTCTCTTGAGGCCCTAGGCTTTCAGCACATTACCCCCCTCTCTACACGTGCACACACAGCTGCCTCCAGCTTAACTAGGGAGGGACATCCTTGGGTGTGGTTGTCCCTGGATCCCCAGTGGGTAGAGGGAGTATTGTTCATCTCTACTTGAGGAGACATGGTAGCTAGAGAAATACGGACTCCCTGACTCTATGACCATGGTGTCATGCTGGGAAGTGCAGCTGATGCTTGACAGAAGATGCTTCTGAAGTTTCTCTCCATAAAGATAGTTTTCTCAGCTGATCAACCGAATGAACCCGGAACAGGGTTAATACAGACCTCAGAACCTCAGCGACAATGCCAGAAACTCCCTTTGCTCAACTCCTACTTCATTCATTTAATTGATATTTACTGGGCACTTGCTATGAGTCGGGTGTGGTGCTAGGTCCTGAGGGTACCGTGAGGGGTAGACAAGATAGCTAAGTTCCCTGCCTTTTGGCGTTTATAGTCTAGGAAGGCAGATAGGTAAGGAAGGAAGGCATTATAATGAAAAGTGCAGTGAGCAATCTGTGGGACAAATATAGACTAAGGGGCACATAGCAGCAGAGCCAAATTTGGTCCAGGTCATGGGGAGGTTTCCTGGGGTAGGTGATGTTAGAGCCGAGACCTGGAGAGAGAATAAGAACCTGGCCAGGCAGGAGTGGAGGTAGGGAGAGAGGCCAGGAAGAGACCAGAGCATGTTGGCAGTCTCGAAGGAAGATCAAGCATTGCATTTATAAGTGAGAGACGTTGAGCCTAGCTGGGACATGAAGAGCAATGGAACGGAGAGTGGTAAGAGATAAACCAGGGGAGTGGCCAGGACCAGCCCTTGAAAAAAGAGAAGATCCCTATTTGTTTTATCAGGGCCCCAGCTAATTATGGACTTAAAAGACCCAAGCACCTTTGAGCACAGAGACAGTGGCGGGTGGGAAGCTTCCACACGTAGATACCTCTGGGTTGGATGCTCCTGATGGGACCTTTATGTTGTATCCTTTTAAATCAGCCAGTTGTTTTTTTCTGCACCTGTGCTTCTCAAACTGGGAGCTCTGGAGCCCTACTTCCTCCAGATATTAATGGTTGTTGCCTCCAAAAACGAATATCTTGGGGCACCTGGGTGGCTCAGATGGTTAAGCGTCTGCCTTTGGCTCGGGTCATGATCCCAGGGTCCTGGGATCGAGTCCTGCATCGGGCTCCCTGCTCAGCGGGAAGCCTGCTTCTCCCTCTGCCTGCTCTGCCTGTTTGTGCACTCTCTGTGTGTGTGTCAAATAAATAAAATCGTAAATATAAAAAGGAATATCTTTAGCTCAAAACGGGGGAAGCGATGCAGAATTAAACACTAATCCATTTTCTTTACTGCGGCAGAATTCCTCAACTCTTCTGCACTTGCTAATGCATACAGAGCTTTTGCAAGAGCAAGAAAGACCAGGCAGTGCGTCCCCAACTCAGTGGCCTTAGAAGATCCCCTTGCAGCACGCTGCTTTGGGTGACGCTACACAACCGGTGTGCAGGATTTTCAAAAGTCCAACTCCATGATGTTTTTAGCACCACATAAATAGAACTGCAGTTAGTATAACGTGGAATAGTGAGAAAACTGTGAGATTTGAAGGCACAAAGACCTAAGGCAGAGTCCATTCTTTCCTTCCCTAGATATTCATTCATGCAAAAGCACTGACTATGTACCAGGCAGTGCCCTGAGTATACAGTGGTGAATAAAAACAAGTCCCTACGTCTTGGGGCTTTGTTGCCAGTACAGAAGACAAGCAATAAACAAGACGAGCAGGTGAAATAAATACACAGTAAGGTAGATCATGATGAATTCCCAAGGAGAAAACACAAGGCAGGAAAGAGGGTTATGCACAGCCAGGGTGGGGCCTCAGGGAGAAGGTGACTTTTGAGTGAACACCTGAAGGAGGTGATTCAGAGGTGGACAAGTCCTCATCTGTATACAAAGATAAGCCCTTCCTTCTGAAGTGTGTTCCCAAAGCCCAAATGAGATGAGGTACATGAAGGTCTGGGCAGAGGATACAGCACATACAGGGTGCTCAGAAGAAGTTAATGCCTTTGCTTCCAGCCTCACCCCCTTCTTCACTTCCCTGAGCTCCCAAAGGTTCACCCACTGTGTAGATTCTCCATGGGGAAACTTGTCTACAACCAGTTCCCCAATAACCCTGGCATCTCCAGGGGCCAGTTCTCTCCTTGTCCATGTCCTTGTTCCTAAGGAATGCTGGTCCAATTTGATTTCATGCCAAACCCAAACCAATTAAGGAGATAAAAGTGCGTCAACATACATCCAGAACACACTTTTCAAATCTGATGATTATTAGATGAACCACTGGTATAGAATCATCCTTCCATTTGTTCAACACATTGATGGAGCACCTTCTGTGTTCCAAGCACCATGCTAGATGTGTGGTATATAGCAATTAACAAAACAGACAAAAGAGCCTTCCGTTGTGGAGCTGGCATTCTAGTGGGGGAGATAGGAAATATTACATAAACATAGTTAATAAGCAAATTAAATAGTCTGTTAGAAAGTGATAAGAGCTAAGGCAAAAAAAAAAAAAGAACTATATTAGAGGGATCGATTGGGGGAAGAGGTTAGACCTCACAAGAGCACAAGCCATTCTGGGCTGCTCCATAAGGCAGGGGTTGGGGTGACAGATGAAGCCCTGGTGGGGCATTAGGAAGTTGCCTCTTGACCCTGACCTTGTGTCCCTCCCTTCCAGGCACCGTGGCCTGAGTGACCAGACCATGGAGACCCTGCTTGGTGGCCTGCTGGCATTTGGCATGGCGTTTGCCGTGGTCGATGCCTGCCCCAAGTACTGCGTCTGCCAGAACCTGTCTGAGTCACTGGGGACCCTCTGCCCTTCCAAGGGGCTGCTCTTCGTGCCCCCTGACATCGACCGGCGGACGGTGGAGCTACGTCTGGGTGGCAACTTCATCATCCACATCGGCCGCCAAGACTTCGCCAACATGACGGGGCTGGTGGACCTAACCCTGTCGAGGAACACCATCAGCCACATCCAGCCCTTCTCCTTCCTGGACCTCGAGAGCCTCCGTTCCCTGCACCTCGACAGCAACCGGCTGCCCAGCCTTGGGGAGGACACCCTGCGGGGCCTGGTCAACCTGCAGCACCTCATTGTGAACAACAACCAGCTGGGCGGCATCGCCGACGAGGCCTTCGAGGACTTCCTGCTCACGCTGGAGGACCTGGACCTCTCCTACAACAACCTCCATGGCCTGCCCTGGGGCTCTGTGCGGCGCATGGTCAACCTTCACCAGCTGAGCCTGGACCACAACCTGCTGGACCACATTGCCGAGGGCACCTTTGCCGACCTGCAGAAACTGGCTCGCCTCGACCTCACGTCCAACCGGCTGCAGAAGCTGCCCCCCGACCCCATCTTCGCCCGCTCCCAGGCCTCCGCCCTGACGGCCACACCCTTTGCTCCACCCTTGTCTTTTAGTTTTGGGGGGAACCCGCTGCACTGCAACTGCGAGCTGCTCTGGCTGCGGCGGCTGGAGCGGGACGATGACCTGGAGACCTGCGGCTCCCCGGGGGGCCTCAAGGGCCGCTACTTCTGGCATGTGCGTGAGGAGGAGTTTGTGTGCGAGCCGCCTCTCATCACCCAGCACACGCACAAGCTGCTGGTTCTGGAGGGCCAGGCGGCCACGCTCAAGTGCAAGGCCATTGGGGACCCCAGCCCCCTAATCCACTGGGTGGCCCCTGATGACCGCCTGGTGGGGAACTCCTCAAGGACCGCTGTGTTCGACAACGGCACGCTGGACATCCTCATCACCACGTCTCAGGACAGCGGCGCCTTCACCTGCATCGCGGCCAACGCCGCCGGGGAGGCCACGGCCATGGTGGAGGTCTCCATCGTCCAGTTGCCACACCTCAGCAACAGCACCAGCCGCACGGCTCCCCCCAAGTCCCGCCTCTCAGACATCACGGGCTCCAGCAAGACCAGCCGGGGAGGTGGAGGCAGTGGGGGCGGGGAGCTGCCCAAAGGCCCCCCGGAACGCGCTGTGCTTGTGTCCGATGTGACGACCACCTCGGCCCTGGTCAAGTGGTCGGTCAGCAAGTCAGCGCCCCGCGTGAAGATGTACCAGCTGCAGTACAACTGCTCCGACGATGAGGTACTGATCTACAGGTGAGCCGGGGCTGCCGCAAAGGCAGGGAGGTGTCTGGCTGGGGAAGGAGGAGGGCTGGGGAGGGTTGTGAACCGTTCCCACCCATGCCCCTTCTCTCCAGAGGTGCCTGGGGGAGTCGTGGGACGAACTGTGCCCTCTGTGCAGGTAAGAGGACATAGAAATCACATCGACTAAAGTGTAGGAAGAAAAGAACCCCGTGGGCAGCCCCAAGAGACATGTGTGTAAGAGGATCAGGCCACCCAGGGCACAGCTCTGGCAGGTGGGTGCATGGCTACAAGCCTCTGAGGAGTGAATCTGGCCTTCACCTGAATGCACATTCAGTTATGCTTAAGGCTTTAAGGTCAGGAAGAGTAGAATTTGGATCACGGCTCCGCCACTTGCTAGTGATTTAATTCTCCCGTCCTGCCTGTTTGTCCCCTTCTGTAAAATGGGGAGAATCCATACCTGACTTAGGCTGGATGCTTGATTACAAGTAATGGAACCCAATTCAAACTGGCTGAAGAAAGAAAAAGGGGAAAAGGAGAGGTAGGGTGTCGCCTCATGTAATATAAAAGTCAGGAAGCTACTTCAGGTTCAGTGAGATCAAAGGCCCCCCCACCGACATCCTGTGTTCTCAGAGTTTCTTACCTTCCCTAAGTTCTACTTTCTTCTGGTTGGGCTCACCCCCATGCAGTCTCTTCCCTCCGAACAGCCCTAGAGGACCCGTTCCCAGCTGGTCCCACAGGAGCCCTGCATGAGCTCCGACTGGCAAGAGCAGGTCACGGGAGCCTGGATATTAGAGGTGGGGTCATCCTATCCCCCCACGCTGACATCTCTGGACACCAGTCTCCTTTATCTGGAAACAGACAATGATGTTGACCTTGTAAATTTATGGCAAGGGTCAAGGGGTCATTTCCTGGGCCTGGTAGAGAGGGAGGTTAAGACTAAAAAGCTGTGCTAGAATCGCCTCCATCATTCAGAGGGAAGAGCTCACAGAGTGATAGATCCAGGCCCCAGGGTCCAGGCTCTGACGGCAGATGAGTTCCTGTCTCGGCCAGCCTCGGTTTGCGGTAAACGTGAAGCACATGGCCTAGAATCTCACTGCTCAAGGAATGCCTGCTTTCTTCTAGAAATCCTCTATGTTTTCTTTTATGCATTTATTTTATTTTATTTTTTCAGAGAGAAAGCGAGTACTGGAGAGTAAGTTGGGTGGTGGCAGAGGGAGAGGGAGAGACAGAATCTTAGGCAGGCTCCACGCTGGGCCCGATGCAAGGCCCCATCTCATGATCCTGAGATCATGACCTGAGCCGAAATCCAGAGTCAGACACTTAACCAACTGAGCACCCAGGTGCCTCTCTTTTATGTATTTAAAATGGTTATTCTGAGAAATAATCCCATATGCTTCATAGACACCCAAAGGGTCCATGGTGCAGGAGCGGTCAAGAGTATTGAGAGTTCTTCCGGCTCCGATCTCAGCTGATGAGTCTCTGGATGGGAATGTGTGAGGGAGAAGAGCTTGTAAGGAAGGTATTCATTCACCAAATGGAGTCCCTGAGACTGAGGGGGTGCATCATGGAAACCAGTGGAAACCAGGGTATTTCCCTGGCCGGGCATGCACTTGGTTTGTCTGGAGAGCAGCTTCGCTTCTCAGGATGTGCAGAAAGCAGCATTAGAACCTAACTTAAATGTATGCATATATACACATATAAAGAGATCTATAGATATATCATTAAGCCTAAATATACATGTATGTGTTTTTCTAATTATAAAAGTAATAGTCTTTGTAGAAAATTTGGAAGGTAAAGAAAATGACAGAGAGGGGCGCCTTGGTGGCTCAGTTTGTTAAGTGTCTGACTCTTGGTATCGGCTCAGGTCATGATCTCAGGGTCATGAGATCAAGCCGTGTGTCCGGCTCTGTACTCAGGGTGGAGTCTGCTTGGGACTCTCTCTCCTTCTCCCTCTGCCCCCCTCCCCAGTAAATAAGTAAATTAAAAAAGAAAAGAAAAGAAAAGAAAATGACAAAGAGAGAAATAAGAATTACCTGTAATCCCACCAAAGTTAACCAGAAGCATTTGGCCTCTCAGTTTTATTTCAATTCAAAACAATATTTATGGTCAGTCTAGTTTGTATTCTTTGCACTCCACATTAGAGCTTGCTTAGTTCCCATGGTAGTAAAATATTTTTCACTTCTCTGTACCACAATTTCTGTAACCAGTCTTCTATTGTTGAACATTTAGATTGTTTCTCATTTTCAACATTGAAAGTAGCGCCTTGATGGATTGTTGTACTTAAATATATCTGTGCAAGTTCAGTGATTTCCTTAGCTTATTTTTCTAGGGGCTGAATTACTGGTTTAATGTGTAAATTATAATCTTTATACATTGCATGTAAATATTTATTGACCCCCTCACCAGTGGAAGGCGACAGTGCCCATTTCCACCACACCTTCGCCAATGACTGAATATATAATTACTTTCATCTTTGCCAATTTTACAGGTGAGAAATGGAACTTGTTTTAATTTGCATTTCTTTGATAACTTGTGAGGTTGACCTTTGGAAAATAAGTTTATTTCTTCACTTGTGAATTTATTATATGGTCTTGACTTTGATAAAAAGTGTAAAGGTGAAATGCTACCTGCTCTGAGTCTCGCACAGGCACAGGACGGAGGGAAGGCAGTGCAGTGGGTGAAGGGCTGGGGCTGTTGGTGTCCAGGCGGCAGCAGGCCCACAGGGCGCCCCTCCCTGGGGGCCCCAGAAGCCCAGGCAGGGGCACAGGAGGGGATGGAGCTGGGCTCCTGATGTCACTCAAGACGGGGATTCAAACGGCATGCATTTGGTGGCTCAGAACCTGGAGACACTAAGTTCATAAAAATAATTGAAATGAAAGCATCAGAAACCTTGGAATTAAAAAAATAATAAATAAAAAAAAAACCCTGCTGAGTTCCTCTGAGGGTGGTCATGGGGACTGGAGGAGACAGAGCTCAGAAGGCTCTCCAAATAATGTGAGCACACAGCTCGTGTTCGAGGTACACGCATCATTATCATTGTTGTTAGTAAAAGTAATAGTAATGGTGAGCGAAGACCATTATCTTGTCTGCCAAGCTTGGGGGAGGAAACGGAAGAGGAGGGCTGAATACACAATTCGGTCTATAACAAGACAGAGTTCCAAAATCTTAGAGAACAATTTCAGAGTGAGATTGTATCCAGAGGATAGGAACAGCCATCGTGGGTCACCATGGTTGCCTGCTTACTCTGTGTCAGACTCGTAGTTCTGGGGCAGTGTCCGAAGTAGAAAGGGCCGAGAGAATTAGAAAGCTCACCCTGGCTCACGCAGCCAGAAAGAAGCAGGAGTCATTTGAACCCAGGCGCTTCTGGAGTCTGCGCCTAGCCTCGGCCCTGTGACCATACTGCCCAGCACCCCGACAGCGACTCTGGCTTGGGAGAAATAGGGCACTCCAAGAAGGAAACTGAATTTTTAGAAAATGAATTGTCCCCGTAAGAAAGAAAAGACACCAGTGGCTGCACAGTGGCTTCTGACGTGCGTAGACTTTAGCAGGAAAGTGTACAAAAGAATGGAAGAAAGGCCCATATGGGAAGATGAGGAGGAGCATGCCCTGTGCAGAGAGAGCTAAACACAGCCCAACAGGGATTTTTAATCCGTGTTCGTAGCAAAAAGGAAAAATGACAACAGCCTGCTGGTTGGGAAGGTGGTTGCAATGAGACTAGACAGGAGCCAGCAGGCCAGCCTGGCCATTTCTGACTGGCACCCACCCTCCCGGCAAGGAGCACAGTGGCAGAAGGGAAGGCACAAATCTGAGCTGAGAGCTGACTAGGGCTTTATGCAGACCAACTCATTTAGTGTTTACTATCCCCAGGAGGTGAGAACTATGATTATTCCACTTTCCGTATAAGAAACTTGTCCAGGGTGTGTATGATACCGGGGCAAGAAGCAGAGACAGAATTAGGATCCTAGCAATCCAGGAAGGGCAAGCCCTATACTGCAGAGAAGGAATGGAAGAATGTGGGTCCTGTCTCCAGACCCCCAGGGTCACATCCAAGGCTAAAGGAACAGTAGATGAGGTTCCCAAGCTGTGGGCGTGGTCCTGAGGCAGCACGGACAGAAAGACAAGTGCCTCAGATGGGAAAAGGGCGGATATTCTGCTTTTCCAAGAATAGACCGTGTAAAGCATAGGATGCAAGCCTGGGCATGGAGTCCCTGCCAAATTCTAGAAAGGATTTCGCAACAGATGGCGGTAAGCCCTCAGAAAAGAATGCTGATTGCCAGGCCCCAGCATGGGTTCACAAGGAGAAAATCCTGCCCACTTGCTGATCTGTGTTCAGGAGACACTGTGGATCAGCAGCTCAGACGGGCGTGCCTCCCCATCATTCACGAGGGCAGCACCTCTCGGTCAGCATCATCCTTGTACAGAGATTCTCCATTAGATCCCACCCCCATGTGTCCCCACAGGAAAGTGGATCCGAATCTCTGGGATGCTGAGTACCCTTGGAAAATGTCCTAGGAGTTTCCATTGGCTATGACTTACTACCATAAACAGAGCTTATCACAATTTTACAGGACATTTGACAAAATCTCACCCTGTGTTAGGACAAAATGGAGAAACGCGTCCTGGTGAAATGCACTTGAAACTGGTCAAGTAATCAGACTGTTACATTGATGTGAACATGAAAGAAAGCCTCTGCCTCCTGCTTCCTCAGCTTCTGCCCCCATTTCTGTACTGCTTGATCCATTTTCCTGTTGTCATGGATAATAACACAGAAAATATGTATTCCCTTCCCTTTGGTTCAAGGACTCAACTGAACAAGCGCAAGGTGGCGATAATCTGGCTTGACTGGAATTTTGTGTGGCCTAGGCTCTGAGTTTTAGTTGATCTCAAGGACATTACGGCCACAAAGTGGCCACAAAGGAGCTGCTAAGACTCCTATGGTTTTTGGTTTTGTTAACAGAAATAAAAGGCTCAGCTCGTGAGAGATTACAATTCTAACCACTGAATCACTCAAG